CCCCAGCTGTGATACCCCTGATTTATATAAAGTCCGCCAAAAGTGTCTCCAACTCTGCGGCCAGCTGTTTATTTATGTGAAGCGCCTGCAACACCGCGTGTTGCTCAGGTCGGCAAATGTTGCTGTTGCTGTTGCAGCTTCAACTGCGTCTACCTTTTTTGGCACACTTATGCAACTGCCGCTGGTGGCAGTAAGTGGATGTTTTTCATGCTCCAAAAGTGGACATAATTGCACATGTGTGTGTGGGGGCTACACACCCAGTCGTGGTCCCGATTCCCATTCCCATTGGCCAGGAAATGGGCGCTCTTTGAAGTCGGTTAGGTTAACTGATTGACTGATGGTCGTCGGGAATGGGTGAGATTTCAATTTGAAAATGCGGAATTGGCAGTCGTTCTGGCGGAGAACACTGTCGAGGGTTCAGCAACATTTGACGTCGCCAGCGGCGGCTTTAAATAAATCAGCCGTAAAGACAAGGCAAACAAGAGGAGAAGGGAAAACAACAGCCAGAAGACAGCTGAAATCCAGCAAAAGCGAGGGAGTCGCAAAAGAATCGTGGCCTTTGTTGATGGCAGCAACAGAAACAGCAATAGCAACAGCAACAACACCCACACTCGGTCCAAAACTGGAGTGCAACTATTTTTACTGCCATGCAAAATGCGCACGAGCAACATGTTGCTGCGGGAGCTTTGGACTGGCGATGTTGCTGCTGCCGTTCAGTTGAGCACGAGAAGCCGGCGCGAGAAGTTCACACGAAATCGGGAGTTGGTGCGTGAAATGCTTTTGGAAAACTTATACGAGTACGAGTGACTAGGCTAAATCCGAAATAAACCGCCTCACAATGAGCAAGAAAATGTGGCATAAGATTTTCAAATCCAAGGCCCAGAAGCCGCCGCCTTTGGCCAAAATCAACAAGCGACATAGTCGCATAGTCTACGAGGAGTATCAGCAATTAAACGAAAAAGAGCAGCTAAATTTCAGCAACGAAAAGGAAAATGAGCATGAAAATGGAAATGAAAATGAAAAAGGCCCTGCCTGTGGAAATGGCAACGGCAGCATTAACGTTTTCGAGCAGCAGCCGCTGCAAAGTTCTTTCAACTCGTTGGAGTTTAGTGAGGCGCAACAGCAGCAGCAGCAGCAGCAACATCAGCCAAAGCAACAGCAGCAACAGCTGTCAACGTTTTCGCGCGTTCGCAACACATTTTCCATCAGACGCAGCAGCAACAACAGCAACAGCAAAAAGCTGGCCAATGCCAAGTCAAGTGAGTCGGATGCAGCATCATCAGCAGCAGCAACAATTGTAAATGCAACAACTGCAACTGCAACTGCAACAGCGGCAACATTAGCAACGTTAACAAACAATAAGCCAAGCAATCAACTGCAACGCGTCTTGATTGTTGTCAATAAGATCGATGTGGCCACTAACTGTCCAACTAACCATTTGCATGCCAATCCTACAGCAACGACAGCAATTAAATCAAGTAATTTTCAATGCAAATTAACAACTAATTTCTGTCAATCGTTTCCACCCAAATTACTCCTTGGTGAAAGCCGTTGGGGGAAATCTCAACTGCTGTCCACATCTGCTCCAATTGTTTCAATCAGTCTAAAATGGTGACCCCTTATTTGACTTCTTCTGCTTATCAACTTTCAGCCAGCAAATGATGTCACCTTCGGTAGTTCTCAATGAAATCGAAATTCTTAGCTTTGATTAACGCGTAGTTGTTTTGTTACTTAGAAAAGAATAGAGATTCTTTAATAAATTACTTTAGTAGTCGCTTAAATGTTAACCTTTTTTTTACTGACAATAGAAAGTAAAAGGATATTCATACTTACATACTTAATTGAAATAAATTTAAATTAAAATTCTCCTTGGAAGAGATAGTATTTTAAATTATAGGCGATCGTGGTTTTGTTTTCTAAGCGAACGATAACTTTTAAATAACTGTATTATGAATAATACATTACGTGAATCATTATAAAAGATTATGTTCGCGTTCATAAAGAATTTTCTATGAAAAATGCAAAAATTAATTTTTGTACACACTAAGAATTCATCTGAGTTTTTGATATTTGTATAGCTTTTGGGAGAGATACGAAAAAACTGGAAGTCATTATATGTACATATTTAAGCCTATGAACTTACAGATACAAAAAGTTATATTTTTGCTATTGATTGCTATTGTAATTTTCGATTCCTTATTTGCTGGTTTTAAATCCCGTAAAGAGGTTCTTTTAACGTTTTCAAGTAAATTAAATACAAGTGAATTGGCTGAATTTTTAATATGTCACATTGCAATCTAAAACATTAAAGTTTGTTAAGCATTGGGATGATTTAGTTCTAGACTAAAAACCTGAAACTTTAATTTTCAATCTCAGCTAGCCCTTGTTCCCCCAAGTGCAAACGGGTCTGGTTCCCAGCTTACCAGTACCCGTTCCAAGGTGCCAAGTCCTCGGTTTTGGTTTCCATGGCCATTCTTCTCGGGTGTCAGAGAGTTGAGAGTTCAAAGCGTAGCAAAGAACCTGAAAACCGCTTCGTCTGGGAACAGGGAAATTGTTTGTAATATACTTTTACCATATTGCACACAAGGCAAGGCATTTATGGGCCCGCTGAAGACTTAAGTGGCTTATGGAGGTTGCCCAACAGTCGGCCACAAAGACAAAAACAAAAAAAAATATGGAAATGCTTAAGACTAGACACCAACTAACAAAATACATAGATGATGGGCCAGGGATGGGCAAGTAGGAAAGCCATATTCGACTAGATTTAAAGTGGCATTCATCACACGCCTGAATGGCTTTAAACTTTTGATCTAGTAAACTCTTGACCATTTAAAAATCCCATGCCCAGGCCATGCGATCTCGAAATCTGCTAAAGATCTGATTCTGATGGAGGCGCTGTTCAGTTGTTATTTTTAAATATCTCAAGTGGATGCACATAATGCATGCGCATATATCTCATATTCGAAGCATCATTAGCACAAGACAGATGGATAGATAGTACAACTCACCCACTTCTCATCGCTGGGTATTATGCTTATGTCTGTTTATGAACAGTATGCGTATGCGTAACACACGACTTTGCATTGATTTGAATGGAAATGAGACAGGGGCTCTCAGTCTCAAGATATTGCGGAAATTCTGCTCTGTGCGTGTCGCTGATTGATGTAATCGCAATCTGACTGCCAGTTTGCGGGTGCTACTCGCCCGGCATTATAATTGGATTTCCTTCGTCTCTGTGATTAGTGGCCGCCTCCATTGATGGTTTTATTTGCTCCTCAAATGCTCCATGGGCGCTGCTTCTAATTATTATTCCGCGATGCCCACACAATGTAGCGCGAGATCGGTTTATGTAGCACAGTTAAAGAATAGTTCCACTTTTAACACCACAATTAAAGCGCAAAAACGATTACAAATCACAGTCAGCTCGATAACGATAGGCAAAGTACCGCAACTTTTCGTTTTGACAGTGCTGGAAAAGGAATTTATTTAAGGACTTGGAAACCTAATAATATTGCAGTAATAAAAACCTTGTATTGTTTTGTAGGGGAAAGAGTGTGTAGGTTGGGACAGTCTGTAAATTGACACAGAATCATCCTCACGTATGATTCGAAAAAAGCAGAGAAGTTTGAAGCAAAGCATAAGCCTGGTATTGTCTGTGTTATTCAGCTACTGATATTCATTTTTAATTTTTTAAACTTCTGTAAAACGACTATAACATCCTTAAATTTGTCGGTCAGAAAAAAACTTATTAACATTTTGTTACACTTGAGTACACTTTTTTGCAATATTTTTTTAGGTTAAAGTAATTCGGGGAATGCGAGTCCTTAGGCTTAACTTCTAATTCCGACAAAGTAATTTTGTCTTATATTTCAATTTAATTGATATGATACACAAAATCTAAATTTAATTATATTTTTGTCCCTGACGATAAATAGCCAGATATGTAGTAGCTGAAACCATCACTTGTAACCGATCCTCAAATCCTAACGTTTACCAATACTGACAGGATATCGATTATTTCCAATATAGGGTCCCTAACGGTTAAATTTAGATTGTTGAAGAATTAGCTCAATTTAACGTAAATCAAGAACAATAAGTAAAGAGATCAAAGTATAACGTGGGCAGAACCACCTGCCTTTCGTGAGATGCAAGATATTCGCTCTTCGAGATACAATTCCCGCCTACAAGCCAAAAAACCAGAGAGTTTGGAGACCAGTTGCCCAATTTGGACAAAACTACATTTCATCAGTCTGCGGCCAGCGGATAAATAACAATTTATAGGCTGATCGCCAAAGACGAACCGAAATAATAGCTATAAAGTATTTGGGGCTGCGACTGCTCCATTGTTTCTTCGTTTTTTGGGAATTTGTTGGTGGGGCCAGACAATTTGTCGCCCAAAAAACACAATCGACCATGAATCTTCCAACGAGCGATTTTCCCTTGGCTGCCAGCCATTTCCACTTGGAAAGTGACTGGAATTTTCAAAGCGACGAACTTTCCCTTCTAAAACCAAGCCCTTTTGATCTGGATATGAAATTCAGGGGTTGCCAGTTACACAGAGAGAAAAATTGGTATGATATGGCTATCAATTTGAACTTTTTGGATTTGTTATTATAATTAAAATATATAATCGCCATAGGGCGAAGTTAAAAAACTTTTTTAGCTTTGACAATAATTTAATAATTTAAAGAAAGATACATTTATATAGTAAAATTGTTTGGACTATTCACTATTAACTTAACAATTAAAATATGTCTTTATCTTTTTTCGATATCGACATACTTTTTTTTTTGAGATGTGTGATAACTTTGAATTTTGTAACGTCTCATAGTTTGCTGCTCCTGTCTGTTCTGTTGTTGTTTCGTTAATTAAGAGAAATATTTTTATTTTTTACGTCTCACATCTCGACTAACAAACATTGCCAAAGTGCTCGCAGCTAACTGAATCCCCCGTCAAAAATTCGATACTCAATTTGCACCTACATCTTCTCGTTGACACAGCAGCAATCCACGGCACCACGGATCCCGAGGCGGAAGACCCGATGCAGGGGGGCGCGGATGAGGATCCGCAGCCCCCGAAGCCACTGACCTCCGGCTCTTCAAATCCGGTGCCGGAGTACGCGCCCGAACAGGACACCCAGCTGACCCCGTGTCCGTGCTGCAGCCGCACCTTCATCACCAGTGCCCTGCGCAAGCACATCGTCATCTGCGAGAAGTCCTCCAAGAAGCGCAAAGTCTTCGAATCGTTCCGCCAGCGCCGCGCTGGAACCGCCCTCTCCACGTACGTGCTGCCGAAGAACTTCGGCATGCCCAATGCAGAACGCACGGCGGGATTGCCCTATCCTCCGACCAACAGTCGCGAGGCCACGTCCACTGCAGTGAGTGCTGCTGCTGCTGCTGCCGCCGCACCTTCAGAGGTGAGTACTTCCACTAAACAAAAAGTTATATATTTTAAAAAGACATATCCAATTTTAAGCACTCTTAAATTCAAGCATAAATAGTTTTAAATAGTTTAACCATTTTTATATACAATTAAAAGGGGTTCACCTATTGATACGAATCATTATTTTAAATAACCATTTTCCATTTTTATCCACTTTGGAAACCATCACTATTTATAACTGAATACAATAATTTTTTATGCATTATGCAAAAATTATATTTAACCAACATAGTTTTCTCTTTGTAATCTAAGGTTAAATCATTTGTAAAACATAAGTAATAAATAATAATAATGAATTACAGACAATCCTAAAAGAAGTAAGATTTATAAAGCTTTCACAACCACCTGTGTACTATCTCGTTGTATTGTAAAGATAAGTGACTTTTATAATATTAGAGGAATTTGTAGAACTTTATCTGTATATTTATATCTAGATTTTCTGCGATTACTTTGAGTTTTTCCTACCCTTTTCAGCCAGTAAAGTCGCCGGCGCCAGTGCGTCGAAAGTCGCAAACCGAAATGGTTCGCTCCACCGCTAGAGCCTCATTGCGCAAGGCGGCATCCACACTCTCCTCCACATCCGCTTCCGCCGAGGCGCCATCCACTGGGCCACCTGCTGCTCCTCCAACGGCTGCTCCGATCGTGCGTGAACGATCGCTGGCCAAGCGGATCAAGGCGCCGGCCTGCGATCGTTGTCCCCACTGCGATCGGTCCTTCAACCCCAAGGCCTTCGATCGTCACGTGGAGTGGTGCAAGGAGAAGGCCATCCTGGCCACCATGAAGTCCACCAACACCCAGGAGACGAGCAAGGCGAAGGAACGCCTGGAGGCGAGGAAGCAGTACAGGCCTCCGAATCTCAAGTAAGCCTGGATTTAGTTGCCACTTGATTCACACACCCATTGTTTCATTTGTCGTTGTTGTTTCCTTTTTTTTTTTGCTTTTTTGCTATTATACACTTGTCTGCCATGTTTGCCAGGACGAAGAGATCGCTGGCCCGGGACAAGTACTCCGGAAACCATGAGGAGCTGCTGGAAGCGGGTGAAATGGCGGCCGCCAAGCCAAGTATGATGTCCCTTTCGATGACCTCGTCCGTGCACAGTGATAAGTAAGTAGATCTTATGGATCTCTAACAAATACATAGATAGTCTTAACCCACCCGATGCTCTTCTGGTCGTCGTAAACCGTATTCCGTATTCGTAACCATTTGTTAGCCATAAAATAGCCACCGTCGTGTAGTCTCAACACACTGTAGTTAGCAATCTTCGATCAGCGATCTTCACTCATCCCAGAAATGATCCCCAGCAATCCGCAAGCTCAAGTCGCAAGACCGCGTACAGCAAGTCGTGGGAAGACTGCGATCACCCACAACCAGGTGAGCCTCTACACGATGTCCAACGATGAGGATCCCCCATCCTCACCGCCGCCGCCGCCCAGGGAACGTCGCTCCAAGCGCAAACAGCACGAATCCTGCAGCGAAATCGACGAGACAATGGAGCGACTGAGGCGTAACACCGCCGTCGGTGGGGATGCCCTCCAGCTGGCCAAACTGGATTGCGTCGAGGCGCCAGTGCTCCAGCCCAGCAGAAGCCGCAAGAGTCCAAGAGTGTCCAAACGGGACAAGGAAATCTGTTTGCCGAATCTTCCACAAGTAACCATGACGTTCGATGAGCTCAATGGGCTGATCAAGCGCAAAGGTATGGGGATGATCTGCTGCCTTTTGATTAGGCAATCTCCACTGATCGTGGCATGCAGTTCTTCAATTAACTTGAGACACTACAACTCGTTAGATCTAAGAACCCGGAACCATTTTATAGTCGTTAATTAGTGCGCGCCGCATCAGAGCGTTTTTGATTCGGAAAGTCAGCCAAGCATTTAGTCCAGGTGCCAGTGCATCCATTAGGTATTTAGTATGGTTAGGAGTCTAAGAAGGAGAAGTCAAGGGTATCCAAAGGGAAATTTAAGTGTCAGGGTTTTGTTAGATTGAAGGGTTTTAAAATTCAACTTTTTTTATGGACAAAATATGTTAATTGGACAGTAATTGAGTTTTCAAAAAAATAAGATTTACTCTGTACTTATGAAACTGTAAGTTGACTATAATTATGTAAGTTAAATTATGTAATCAATGTTAATATAATTTATAAAAGTTTAATTTTTGTTCAGATTTTAAAAAGAGTGTTTTTTTAATTGATGTTATTAAAAATTTACATTACATTCATGGATAAGTTGAGAAGAAAGATAATTGCTTTATCAATCGATGGAATTTGTAATAGATTGAATATATATACGAAGAAAGTATTAGTGAAATCAATAGATTAGTTACAGTTTTACAATCCTTTGAGTATTTTAGGGCGTTTCCCAAGTTATATCCAGGCTAATCCAAGTACCCAACCTCCCAATCCGCATGTTGCTCCACTTAAGGCGGCACGCCCATTTGCAATCTAGAAATGGATGAGCAGGAGATCGCTGGTTTGACCCCCAACCAGCGCCCAGCCACTTCGATAGTGCGCCAGGCGAGACGACGCACTCGCACCCGGGAGAATCCCAATCTGGAGCTACGAGCTCAGCAGCCGCCGGGTTCGCTGATCTCCAAGGACCTGGAGTTCGCCTCCCTGGACTCCAGTCTAGTGCCCCTGCAGCGAATGCAACGTAAAGTCTACTCCGGATCGGAGGACGAGTCGCCAAGGGCGGAGATCCAGATCAAAATGGAGGCCACAACGATGCGCACAGTGTGTCGACCCACGAAGAGATCAGCAGCCCAGCAGGTGATGAGCAACTTGGAACCGATGCGTGCTTTGCCCATGAGCAGCAGCGGGCTGAAGCAGAGTTTGGAGGCCATTAACCAAACGATGGGACAGACGGTGCTGCCAAGACTGAAGTTGGACTACCAACCGGAGGCAGATGATGGGGATAACTATACCAGTGACCTGAATGACGATCCGGAGGTGGAAGAGGCGGACCTAATGAGTCGTGCGGCCAAGCTGATTGAACGATCTCGTTCCGATTCCAATCCCGGTGAGCAAAGTGAGGAGGATGAGCAGGAGGAGGAGGAGGAGGAGGCGGTACTCAAACTACCTCCTTTGACCAAGCAAAACAGCAACGTGAGTCGCCGTTTGGTGCTCCTAGAGCAGGATGAGAATGGCACCATGTACATAAAGTCAGCGCCAAGTGCCAAGCGCCGTTCGACCAGGTTTGTAGCCCATAATAATCCCCATCCTCGCCAGACGACAGCCAGACAGAGCACAAATTGGGTGGTTAATCTACTAACTAAACACTATTAAGCCACCTTTCTAACTCTGTGAAAAAATCTCTATTTGAAACAGCGGCCTCCTGGGGGACAAGTACGATCCCTTCCTCTCGGCCAAGCGTCAGCTGGAGGAGCTCTGCTCGCCCAGCACGCCGCCGCCCGAGGAGGAGGTGGTGACTACCAGCACCACCAGAACATTGACACCTTTAACCACAGCCACAACCACACCGACAGCCACACCCAGTAACGCCATGACCACTTCGTTGACCACCAAGCCAGCACAACAAAGCACTCAGCGGAGCCTGCCCGCGTCCAATTTCCGACGCACTTCGTCGCTGCGCGGACCTCGTCGCACGCCCATGCTCAACAGTCGTCCGCTGTTCGCCACCAACTATCGACCCACCATCCAGAGGGGTCTCTCCGACGAGGGTCCCATCTCCACGAACTTCTTGAAACCGGAGGAGTTCGATGAGATGCCAGTGAGGGCGGCCTGTGGCAATGATTTCCACAGTCCTCGAGTGGTGCGTCGGGACCAGAGTGCCTCCAATCGCAAGCAGCTGCTTAAGCTGCCCGTGGGCAATCAGGGCAACGAAGCCACTTCCCAAACCGGACGCAGTGTGGCCAAGACAGACTCGCTGGCCGTCTTCCTCAAATACGAACATGAACTGGAGCAGCTGAATGCCAAGGCGGCGGAGCTGGCTGTGGCCAATCAGTTGACCAGCAAGGAGCAGAAGGACAAGAGCAACACGCTGAGCAAGCAGAACTCGGCCAAGAGCCTGGGGCAGAGTACTCCGACGACCCAGTTGCCACCACTGACCACTTTGACTGCATCTGCAGCTAAGGAGCCGAGCTATCCGCCAGTGGCCACGCCCCTGCGTTTGGAGCCCATCGGCAGGCCAGCTGCACCGCTGACACCCATTAAACTGGAGAGCATCTTTGGACCCAGGAGATCGGATTCAGGCTCAGGCTCGGCCGCCAGCGACTTTATAGATCCCAAGCTGATAAACGCCTGCGATAATCTGCATGTAAATAGTGGCGTATCCTCGGATGCCAGCTCCACGCCCCAGCAGTTGTCGCAGCAGAGCACGAGCCGCAGCAGCTCCCAGTCCACCATCACCCACAGCCACACGCAGGAGCGAAGGCAATCCTCTGGAGAGGCCAGGAATCTCCTAAAGCGCAAGATGCGACTGGGACGCAACCAGTTCCTGTACGATGCCTCGCCCGAGGATGCGCAGGATGCCTCCTCGGGTTGCTGCTCGGCGGACGACGAGGCCAATCGCTCGTCCATGGAGTACGATGAGCAGTGCTGGCAGCAGCAGCAGAAGCAACTGCTGGCCAATCCCCTGCTGCCCATGGCTATGGTGCACGGCGCCATGCCCACCTTCGATGACTTTGACTTCGAGGAGTTCCTCTCCTCATTCGAGAACGAGAATGACGATGAGCAGTTCCCGCTGTTCAAGGACTGTCGCGAGTTCCTACTGAATCGCTCGACGAGCAGGCAACGTTCGTTCCAGAAAGCGATTTCCACGACCCAGACGACAGCCACACAGCCCACGATTACCCCCAATTATGGTCACCACCATCAGGCCAAGACAACTAAAGACAGTCACGCCCACAGGTCGGAGTGCAATGCCAGCAGCGAGGAGGAGAAGATGGAGAAGCAGGCCGCCGAGGATCAGCGGGATCAGAAGCGGGAGATCTTCATCAGCATCGAGACGGAGGCCAATGCCCAGGGCCGCTCGCCCATTTCGCCGGAGTCGCTGCGCCACATGGTGGGCAATGCCCAGACGCCCATCGATGTGCTGCACATCGAGAACGGGGACGAGCCGGAGCACGCCAGGTTCAGCAAGATCAGCGACACGGAGGAGGCCCCAGATGAGCCCGGGGATCGGGCCAGTCAACACTCAGCTCCCAGCTCCCGACTGGCCCCATCCTCCAGTGGCTCCAGCCTGGCGCCCAATGTTCAGCTGAACAATGCCAAGAACATGATCCAGCGCATGCACAGCGAGTACCGGCAGATGGGCGAGGAGGCCAGTGCCTCCATGCGACGCATGCTCATTGTGGGCAACGGCTCAAGGAGCGAAGATCAGGAGCAGCAGCAGCATCAGCAGCCTAGCCGGGATCACAGGAATCCCAATCCAGGGGGCCCACTGACGCCTTCGCCATCGGCCGACTCCGATGAGCTGAGCAGCCTGGATGGCTATCCCATGTCCTCCTCGCAGGACTCGCGTCCCGGAGCCAGCTCCAAGCTGAGCTCGGATTCAGCGTACGGCAGGTAGGATCATTTGGGATCATTCTAATTTACAATATATATCAATATGAGGTACTGCAGATAATGATAATTCAAAAGTTTATTTAATCAAACAACAAAAGAATTCATTAAAAAGCCATACAAAGAAGAGAATCGCCATATTGCTCCTAAAACATTTTTAAATGTTTGATTATTTAAAAATTAAATAAGACTTTGTTAAAAGGTGCAGGCCTAGCAGTAACCAATAATGTTAATTTGTTATGTGAGCAAACATGCATTCATTGGCACCTTTTTTAACGTTTTTATTTATAGAATTTATATTGTAAAACTTAAAAAAGTATCAAGTATTTTAAACTCACATTTATGGTCCAGACCAGTTTGTGGCTAGCTTTTTAGAGTTTTACAATATAAATTCTAAAGAATAACATAATTTTTTTGTATTTTTATTCAAAGCCAGTTCACATCAAATTCATTGATTATAGAGTTGAACACATATACTAAAACACCCATAACTAATGTTATGATGGTCAATTTAATAAAAATCTAGGCAACAGCATCTATGCTATTTACTTTACTTTTAAAGATGCCTTAAACATTAAACATTTTGTAATTTTTTTTTGTACAAATACTAAGTATACACGTATGCTTAGATAATTCTGTATAAACATAGTTAAGTGCCTTTAGATCTGCAACAAAAACACTGTTTTGCAGTGTAATAAACAATTCATATTAATATAATTTCTGTTTGCTTAATTTATTGCAGCAGCAACTCTCCTTATAGCTTGTCGCGTCAGCGCTCCACCGAACTCCAGCCGGGTACGCCCCGATCCCAGGGACTCCTGCGCCCGCATACGGCCAGTGCCAAGTTGCCCGGCTTGTCCATGTCGGATGCCTCCACGCAGGCACAGACCAAGTACGGAACCCTCAAGGCTCGCCAGCGGCTCTTTGCCCCAGAATGTGGCAGCAGCAATGGCAACGAAGATGGGGCCGATTCCTCCAGCAGTGGATCGGATAACTCCCTTGCCGCGCAGTCGAAACAACAGCAGAAGCAGCAACAACAGCAGCAGCAGCAGCAGACCAGCAACTACAATTACCAACAGCAGCAGCAGCAGCAGACCCAATCCCAATCCCAACCAACTTACAACACCAACAACAACAACAGCAACAACAACAACAACAATCTACCGATGACACCCACCACATCGCAGCACTCCTTAATGAGCAATTCATCCATGAGTTTAAGTATGAAGATGTCGAAATTCTGCCACGAATGTGGTGCCAAGTTCATCATTGAGCACGCCAAGTTCTGCATGGATTGCGGAGTGAAGCGGGTTGTACTCTAGATTAACCCCACGTAGCCGTTGATTTCAGTAGCTCACTCTCACTCTCACTCTTACTCTCACACACACAAAACACAGAAAAGCCAACACTCTAAAAACACCAAAACACCGAATGAACCCGGAATGAACAACGAATGAACCAGCAATGAACATCGGCTGAACTTCGCTGAATGAGACCTGGCTGGATCTTTATCGGGGTCTAAAATATACCAAATGTAGATGTTAAACGCAAGCAGTTTACGGATAGCGCTAACACCGCCTCTATATACAGAATAATAATATATATTTTAATACAAACCAAAACAAGCAAAACAAAGATTTTAAATCGAACAAACTTTAATTAATCGAACTAAACTTGGCATTTCTTTCGTAAACACATTTCTCATCTTCGATTGCTTTTAAAAAAAAAACGAAAAAGCAAACAAAAAACGCAACTCAACGTAAACAAATATATAAACACTTTAACAAAGTTGTTGATTAACAAAGACTGAACGAATTTAAACGATATAGAACGTTGGAAAAAATAATGGATTATGTAATGTGACACAGGAGCGAAAGTATTTTTAAACATTTTTCAAAACCTAACGCAGCAACTCCATTGTACTTGTATTTTGTAATCGTTTTACTAATTATATAGACACTGCTTAAAAATATAAATATATATATATATATGAAAGTGCATTCACATCGATTTGAATCACCGATTTGGTACAATATAAAAAACTTTAAAACGTCGAAGTTGACTTAACATTCATGAGAACTCATACGTTTGGATTTAACAGGTCCAATTCTTACATAAATCTTAAATCAAATGTTTTTCTTTCTTCATTCGCAGGCCATTAAATGGAGTATCAAGGGTATTTTCTTCTTCGTAACGTAGTCTCAGACTGCATTAATGTGAAGTATTGTTATCAGAAACTTATACTAAGAAAAAATACAAGAACTTCTGTTAGCGACGGCTTAGAATATTTGGTTCTTTCACGACTTCTCTTCTAGAGGATAATACTTTGAACTTTTCGGGTCTGTCTTGGTTTAACTTAATCTAATAATAAGCTTATAACTTAGTCTAAACTATCATTTCCTTCAGTTTCAGTTTGGTTTCTTTTGGAGCAGCTGCACAAGCTTTTAGAAAATTTGAGTGAACCACAATCTTGTCGGATTTCTGTATAGACAACTGGGCCATTGATTTAGTTATAGCATCGTCGTCTATGGCCTTCGGCATCCTGGCATACCAGGGAGTGAGCTCGTCGTCCTCCAGCTCACTGCTGGAATCCTCATCGGAGGATTCCTCTTCATCCATGTCGGGCAGGAACAAGGGCCTGTCCTGGGAGTTCTTTTTCTTGAACAGATATGTGCCCTGCGTCTTGCAACTATTGATAATTGACTTGAAGTCTCGGTGATGACGGAGGGTGACTGGATTGCCAACCAGGATGAGCAGCGACTTGGCTCGTGAGAGGAGCACATTCACCCGGCGAGGATTGCGCATGAATCCCATGTTGGCAAAGGATCGCACCAGACTGGCAATGATGATGGGCTTCTCGCGGCCCTGGTAGGTCTCCACGCTGCCCACCTCCACCTGGGGATGCCCCTGGCTCTGGAGCAGCTTGGTGATTAGCTTACCCTGGGCGGTATACGGAGCCACAATGCCTATGTCCACCTGGCTGACTCTATTTCCCCTGCCCAGGCCATCGTCAATCAGGCGTTTGACGTACCAGCACAGCACTTTCGCCTCAAGCTGATTGTACGAGCTGGTGGAGTGCTGCTCCCTTTCCGTCCTGCCATGGGTGGCCTGAAAGATTATGGGAAACGAAGGATTGGGCAGCAGGCTCCAGTGGGCCGCCAAGTTAACCTCCGAAGCCGGAGCCTGAGGGATTAGCTCTCCGTTGTAGTAGAGATCGTTGAAGATGCGCACGATCTGCGGATGGGATCGATAGTTGCGACGCAGTCGCGTCTGCAGGCTGCGATCGTAGTTTCCATTCTCGTCCAGCCTGTAGCAATCGGAGCGGAGGAGTCGCTCCATCAGCGATTGGCTCAGACCCAAAGAGGCCGCCCGATTGCTCTTGATGACGGCGCCCAGCTGCTTGTGATCACCGGACAGGATGACATGGCAATCGGTCGTCTGCTTGACCCCCATGATGCCGATCAAGGCCTCCGGCTCGGTGGCCGCACCCGCCTCGTCGATGAAGATGTGGCTGTAGAAGTTGTGCTTGCCCAGGTTGTCGGTGACCAGACGTCCCACCGTGCAGAGCGTGGCCACCGTGATGCCGTACTCAAGTACATGCGAAACTCCAAGGTGCTCGTAACTGTTCTTCGAGCAGTTGGAATTCTTGAGCAGCAGTGCCGGCACCGACTTCAGTCCCTTGTGGTGGATGGAGCGCGAGAAGACGCGGATCAACTGGTGACCCGGCTTGGGCTGCTCCTGCCGGGCAAAGTGCTCTTTGAGTCGACTGTTGTACGCGATGTACTCGCACAGCTTGAAGGCGATCGTGTCGCAGGCCGAGTTCGAACCGGCGGTTACAAGGATGCGGCTTCGCGGTTGCTGAAGGCGCAGCTGTAGAATGGCCTCCACAATGGTTGTGGTTTTGCCAGTGCCTAAGGGATACAAGAAGAGCTAGTGAACACGGTAAAGTAGTAAAGAAATCTTTAAGGATTTACAAACGTTTTTCTAGTAAATGTATGATAAATTCCTAATTGAACTCGTAAATCTCTGATTGAATTTTAGTGCTTCTGAAGTAGAAAAGATTTCTAGATTGGTGGAATTTTTAAGGAAGTGAAATTCAAAAATCCGAATTTGAAATGTTTTTGAGTTTTTCAAGTAAATTTAATAATGATCATATAATTTGTAATTCTCTGAATATGAATTTTGTAGATTTTTTATTTATAGGCATGTATATATATTGCGTAAAAATTGCAATTGCATGTATTAAATTTATGAAATTGAAACAATTAAAACGAGTGTTTCTAGTTAATGCAGTAGAAATTCTTTCAGTCGTAGATGATGTTAATTCTGGATACATTTCTTGAACTTTGTTAAAAAGTGTTTAAAATGTATCTATAATTCCTATAATTCCCCCTCCAAGTTTTGTATTTTTAAATCAAAGGTATCGATGCATAAAACGCATATCTTTGGTGTTCTCACAATAATTCATTATAAGCTGTGGGTTTCTTACTTGCATTCATCTTAAGACCAATTTTTGTAGTCTATACAGATTAATGGGAACCCCCACAAAATTTTTAAAAGTTTGTCAATATCTAAAAGAAATTTGAGCATGGAAATTTGTAGTAAATTTATACCACGGATATGGTCTGTTGATGATGATGATTTGTCTGTCTGCGAAGAATTATGGGGAACCCCCCTAGAAATTATTGGAAATTTATGGTCTGAATAGTATATTAATAACAAGGTTTCTGAAGCGAACTGGGGTTGTACATATGTCCGGATTGATTACCTGGTGGTCCGAACACGATGTAGGGTCCCTGGGGATTTGGTCCTGCGACAATTCTCTGCACCGCCTGCAACTGCTCCGCATTGGAATTGATGGTGGAATTGAGCAGCGAGACCGATGCCGATGCAGCAGGCTCCGGTGGTGGCCTCACCTGCATCCAGATGGGCAGGGTCGAGCAATTGCGCATCTCGATCATCGATCGGTTCAGCATTTGAGTCAACCAGCCGGGAAATGGGAAGAGGTAGCGGCGTATCAAGGGGCTCTCCTGGAGCACCTTTAGGGCGCGGTACATGTAGCGGAAGGGAGTGCGCCTAGAGCGGATTATGGCACAGAATCGCTGGCCGATGAGGACCTCCTCGCCGGGGTTGCTGCCACGGCTGAATCGGATATGGACTGTGGTGCGACTAACCTGCTCCACACTGGCCACATGGCGGCGATTGGGATCCTTCATTTCCAGGACCTCGTGGGCATGTGGCAGCAGGGCCAGCACAAGTGGCTTGGGCAGCGGCGAGGCCAGCAGGCTGGGCTTTGGCACCAGCACCACTTCGTCCAAGTTGGGGGCCACCACGTCCTCAGCGTTTACACCTGTTGTGTTCTTAAGGTCTATCTTGTACCTCAGCTTGGAAACGCGCTGCACAGACACATCCGGTTGGATTAGTTGGGCATAGAGCTGCATAGTGCTCAGATCCTCGATGCTCAATAGTGTCTGCATCACGGAGCATACATTGTAAAACTCCAGCCGCCTGGTGGCCAGGTACTCCTCGAATATCGCATTGTTTTTGGTCAAATCTGTGTCCGTAAATTCGGTGGTCATGGCCTCTAGCATTTCTTTAGTTGGCGGAGAATCCGGTAGATTCCGCATCAGTGCCAGAAGTCTGGAGAGGATTGGCATGAGGCTAAATTCTGGGAGAAACCAAAAACAACTCACTTTTTCTGTCTCTCCAAAGGGTCATCTTTTTTGGCATTCGGATCGTCACTTGCCACGGCTTTTGGTCCCAAAAGAAAGCCAGTGTTATTCTGTTTTAGCCAATGATCTGCGTAGCGAGCTATTTGCGACAACTGGCGATCCAACTGTAAACTCCATAATTACATCCAAGTACCACTTATCAACTGTAAAATATTACTTACCAATTCCAAGTTCTCTGTGCCGTTCATTGTTTCGTTGCTAAAAATAATTGTCACAGTTTAAACCACATTAGTGAAGAGACAATAACTAAGAAAGAATGGCTTTTCCGAGAATAACAAACTTTAAGTTCCGTTGCTTTTTTGGAGATGGACCAAACTTGTCCTTTCTTCGCGGGCAACGTCGATTAATAAGATCGATTTATTTGTGCAAGCAGTGCTCTGATGGGCATCACTGATATGGGAAATCAATTGTACAACACTGATATTGAGTCATCTCTAATTTATGCAACATGTATTATGATGGGCATCACTAATTCAAAATTAATAGCCAGGCGGATGTTGATGGGCATCACTGATAAAACAAACAGCCTGCAACACTGATTTTGTGTCACCTCTAATTCGAAGGTTTGTTTACCAAAAAAAGGAAACCGGCTGAAATGGCCGATTCGGACTCAAACGAGGTCCTTATAGAGGAAATAGACAGCAACGATGTGCCGGAGAACGAGCTGGAGCAGTTCCAGGAAACGGAGCCACTGCGCGTGGTGGACATTATCGACTGCGACGCCGATGGCGAGCGTCGCAGCTTCGAGGCGGATGAGGAGGAGGGAGCTCTAATCAAGCGCTATGTGCAGGGCGTCCAATGTCTGGAGTTCCCTGATTTTTGCACCAAGCTGGAAGCCAGCGACGAGGATGAGGAGGAGGAGGAGCTGGTGGCTCCTACCGTGGAGCAGCCTCGCACTTCTGTGGCACAGGCGAAGCCACCAACGCAAGACCAACAGCCTTCAGGAAGTGGACGCTCCACAGGTGGCGGTGGATTTCGCAAGAGCCAGCTGAGCACTGCCCTCCAGGGATTGATGGGCGAGGCTAACTTGAGCTTTGTGTACGGACGCTTCGAAACCGCCGAGCGCATCTGCATGGAGATCATCCGACAGAACCCGCTGGCCAGCGAACCATTCTACACGCTGGCCGAGATTTATGAGAACCGCGACGAGGTCAAGTTCCTCAATTTCTCCACCCTGGCGGCCCACCTGAATCCCCAGGATCGGGACATGTGGATCCGAGTCTCCGATCTGCTTGTGCAGCAGGGCAACCTGGCCCGTGCCCGCCTCATCTACACCAAGGCCATCAAGATGCTGCCCAAGGTCTACCAACTGCGTCTGCGGAAGGCGCAACTGCTGCAGAAGATGGGCGAAACCAATGCCTCCATGTTCACGTACTTGAAGATGCTGCCCCTGATGCCGCCGGAGGAGTGGAAGATGTGCCTGAACACGGCCAAGAATGTGGCCCGCTACTTCCACGTCCTGGAGAAGCACACCTTGGCCCTGGAGGCCATGGAGGGGGCGTACAGCGTGTGTGGGGCCCGCTTCACCCTGGAGGACATCAACATCTACCTGGAGCTACTGATCCTCAACAAGCAGTATGCCAAGGTCTTAAGGTGCCTGAGGGAGCGCACCAACTTCGAGCTGGAGAACGACCAGGAGGAGAGTCTGGAACTCATATTCTTCTGCGAGATCCCCGACGACTTTGTGCCCGAGCTGCGGGCCAAGCTGTGCGTCAGCATCATCCACATGCGGGCCCACCACCTGCTGGGCTACCTCATCCAGAATGTCCAGGAGCACATCACTCTGACGGCGGATCGGGTGGAGCTGTACATGGACATCACGGAGGCACTGATGCAGGAGCACAAGTACGCCGAGGCCATTGCGCTAATGAGTCCCATCACGGATGGCGACACCGTCGAATGTCCAGCGTTTGTGTGGCTTCGACAGGCCGAGTGCCTGCGTCAGCTGAACCGCACAAACGAGGCTATCCAAAGCTATGAGAAGGTGGTCCAGCTGGCGCCCTTCTGCTACGATGCGCGCTTCACCCTCTCCGCCCTGCTGAAACAGCAGGGCAGGCACGAGGAGGCTGTCCAGGCACTGGAGCAGCCAGGTGAGGCCGAGGGCCAACCGCTCATTGCCCGCCTGCTGTACGAGCGGTGTGTGATGCTGCAGCAGATCGGGCGCATCGAGGAGTTCCTGGACGTGGGCTATGCCCTGCTCAGTCGCCACTCCATCAAGCTGTACAACCGCGAGGAGATGATGGCGGCCGCCAACGGAGGCAGTGCCTACAATTCGGAGAGTCTGAAGACCATCATCCAGATGCGCAGCAAGGCGGTGGATAATTCAGCGGAGCAGGATCTGCAGGTGACTTTAGAGCAGCTTAAGCAGCAGGGCAATAAGTTTATTTTGCGTAAAAAAGCCCAATTTTTGTGATTGATATTGATGAAACTGTTCAAATCTATTCCCCAAAACCAATGGTGCAACATGGAATTTAAAGAAAAAGTTGTGCGAAAAACGCCTTAAAGTTTTGAAAATTAATAATACTATTCGTATTGAACTATCCTCAATAGAATTTTAGACACATCGTGTTTGAGACATTATGCCCTCTCCCCCTTAACTTTAATGCAAATCAAAAAAAAGCAAATCCTATAATAAAAATTCTCTCATTAGGATCCTGGCAAAAGTGCCGCCACTGAGGCCTCCGATCTGACCGTCAAGGATGAGTTCAATCTCTTCCAGGAACTGGTGCGTACGGCCTTTAAGCATGGCATGCACAGTGCCGCCGAGAAGATATGTTTCGCCATGGTAACGACGAAGAGATTTACCTACTACCACCATGAGATCGAGAGGATAATGGTGCTGACGTGCTACTACAACGACGACTGTGCCATAGCCTTCTCGTACCTGCGGGAACTGATAGCCAAGCAGCCCAGCCAGACGAATCTGTGGAACATGCTGTCGCTGATGATCCAGAAGGGCGACGAGGTGCGCTACTATCGCTACATGCGGCGGCTGATGCAACGCCATCCGGTGGACACCAAACCGATGCGCATCTTCCAGGGGCACTACCATCTGAATTGCGCCTCCTTTAAGTATGCGTTGAACATCTACATGCCCATACTGCGCGAGAATCCCGATCCCCTGGTGGCCCTCTGCATAGCGGTGGCCTTCAACCAGCTGTCGCTGCAGAAGAAGGTGCTGCGTAAGTCGGCTTCGGTGGCCCAGGCGGTGGCCTTTGCCCAGCGCTACAAGGAGCTGCGGTCCGCTGGTCACGAGCTCTCGGATTGCGCCGCCCAGCAGGAGATCTACTACAACATAGGACGCATCTATCATCAGGCCAACATCCTGCACTTGGCCGTGGAGTACTATGAGAAGGCGCTGGCCGTGCCCCTTCATCCGCTGATTGCCGAGCACGAGTCCACGCTGGGACTGCAGCACGAGGTGGCCTTCAACCTGCACCTGATCTACCGAGCCAACGGAAACAAGTGGAAGGCACGCCAGTATCTGATGCGTTATTGTGTGGTCTAATCAGCGATCTTTATATAAAACGATTTCAACCAAGAGGTTAAGCATTACAAATGGTGTAAATAGCTTTGTATTCATAAGCATAAAATATGAAGTGACTGAAAACACTTTTGCACGACTAACTAAGGAGATTTAGTTCTTAAAAACCCACATAAATTAAGGTTAAACCATTTGAATCACCTTTAGAAGCACTTATAAATTAAATACTACTTTTTTGTAATGACTAAGTCAGAAGAAAGTTCTGGAGCTACTTTGTACTATTACTGCAGAGATAAGAACCTTTTTAAAATGCATTGTTTTCCCATTGTGTGTATATAAAAAACAATAGGTCCTAAAATCCCTATCACTCACCAATTGCTTTTTTCCAAAACTGATCCCATTTTAAATTTTAAAATTAAGAATCTTTATATTATTTGAAAACGTTTTTATTTTGCGATTGAAGAACTATTCAGTACTGAAATCAAGCAACAGCTACCAGTCGCCTTTATAGCGTCAGAAGAACAATAAAGGGGACTACCATTATTTCACTCTCTTATCAGTTGAAAATGTAATGTGCAGTGCTGCAGGTTACATGATTTTTAGAACTCTGTTTAAACAGACGTCTGTAAAACAAGTTAATCAATAGTATTTCCGATTTTTTGCAATTATAGCCAAGTCATTATAGGGGCCATTACTTTTTTCTAATGAAAGCCCTTCGATTACACTTAATTAGTCACCTAATGTTATTGAGCTAAGAGTATTCGGTTTTATTTGAAAGCTTTAAGTGATTAAAACGGAAATCTAGCAAGGGTTTCGTAATCTCTTATTTTTATTCAGCTGGTTCAGGATTAGAATTTTATTTTAGTCGTGCAGTCAATAATGTTGATAAAAATAAAATTGTTTAGGTTTAACTAACAATAAAGTCTGACTCTATTTATACAACATTTCTGTTGTGGTACGTTTGCAAAGGGTTTGGACAACAATATAATTATTTGGTGTCTAGATAATGTGCATAAAGAATGTGCTTAAATATTTAGGATTGTACATAACACATATATATAACATGTTTACTTTTTTAGATTAAATTAATTGTTTTTGTCCTGTGTCCAAAGTTAAATATTAATTTTCATTAACAATATTTTTTCAGAAGTATTCAATTATGTAGCATTACTTTTTTTTTTGATAATAATGAAACTCAATGCTAGTAAGCATTACTTTCTTTAATGGTAATGGAAAAGTAATTATTATTATAGTGCTTAGTTATACAACTAAGCCCGATAAAAAAAAAAACTGAAAAACTGATGTTTTATGAACTTTAAATATAAATAAACTAACATTTTTATTTGGATAACTAGTAAATATATATATATGTTAAAATATCTCTTTATTTAAGAACTCCGAGGAAGGTACATTTTGAACAAGTGATCAACGGAGGAGTTAAGGAATCTTCTCATTATATATTAATTAATTAAATATAGATATTACTCAGTTATAAAACGGAGAATGAGGTTTAAACTTTAAATGCAATTTAACTATTATTTTAATTTGGAAAACCCTTTGCCTTGCCTGTTTCAATTGAACCAATATAAATACAATTAGGAACCGTTTCTGTTAAAATGTCTCTTTATTTAAGATTTCTGAAGGAGGTACATTTACATTTACAAGTGACCAACGGAGGAGCAAAGGGATCTTCTCCGTCCTAGCAAGCAGGCAGGGACTCCTTCTTCACATAGCCTTGCCCTACGGACCAGCCCGCCTCCGATCGGACCTGGATGGAGCTGATCCCCTGACCACGTTGCAGGTGTTCAGGCAGTCGTTCTCCGTGAGGAAGTTGTTCCGGTTGCCACGACATCCGCCGTAGACGAAGGAGCCGCAGCGCTGGCTCTGCGGATCGTAGGCATAGCGCATGTAGTTGCCCCGACAGGGACCCGCATCCGGGGCCTGGACACAGATGTCCTTGGCCTGCTCCGCGTTGATGTGGCAGTCGGTGGGACCGGCGCACTCCTTCTGCTGGTGCAGCTCCATGCGCCGCGTGCAGTTCTCCTTGTCCGGCCCATTCTCCAGCAGGACGAGACGCGTGCGGATGGTCACGCCCTTGCCGCAGGTGGCGATGCAGGGACTCCAGTCGCTCCACTGCGTGGTGGGACACTGCGGATCCGGCAGCTCCACCTGCTCGTACGTGCAATCCGGCCGCATGCACTTGTTCTTCTCCACCACCGAGATGTGGGGGCATCGCTTGCGTCCCAAGTAGTTGACAAAGGAGCGCGTGCGCATGGTGATCCCAATGCCGCAGCTGGCGGAGCACTCGGACCACACCGTCCACGGCGTGGTCTTGCACAGCCCGGTTCCCTCGCCATTGCTGCCCACCAGGGATTGCGAGTTGGCCAGATCCTCGCCCTCATCATCGCCGCGATCTCTTGGCTGGGAGGAGGCAGCATCTCCCCCAGCGCACTCGGGAATGGAGGCCACGCACATCTCCTTGGACACCAGCTGGCGGGAGCACTTGCTCTGATCCGCCGCCGCCGGATACAAATACTGACGGTTGCGCATGCGGATTCCCTTGCCACAACTCACGGAACACGGACTCCAGGCGGAGTAGTCGCTCACCCGGCATTCGGCTAGGGAATTAATTTTTTTTATTAGAATTACGGTCGTTAATTAATATAAGTTTTATTTTAAAAATTACTTTTCAACGATCGTTTTAAGAGTTTTACTTATTACTCAAAAAAAAACGGGTACTTTTCAGGGTTTCTAATCAAAAACTAAAACTGAAGAAAAAGGTTTTAGCTTTCAAAATATAACTGGAAACTCAAATATATTTTAGAAAATAATAAAACTGGAACTGAAATTTCTTTTTACACTAGGACCGATTATCGAAATTGGGAAGGAAATAGACTAAATGAAATCAGCCAACCTTCTGCGTTTATAATCGGTTCTATATGATAGAAATTGAATTTAGAGTCCGAGTTAAAAAAAAAAAAACAATATTTCTTTTGACCTGAAATTAAAACTGGCAAAATGATCATTATGTATAGAGCTTAAAATAAATTTAAAACTATGTCATTTTGTTTTTTAAAGTTATATAAAACTCAAAATAACCTATTTTTGCATATGTGTAAAAAAAAATTAAAAAAAAATAAAAATTAAACCGACTTTTGAAATTTTAATTTTAATGCATAATTATAAAACTGGATTGTTGCAATAGCTTTATGTCACCACGATTGTTTAGTATAAAACAAAATTACTTTCGGTACCTGGTTAGATGGGGACCTTACATACCTCTGGTGTCCTGCTCCTCGGCATCGTCGGACACCTCCAGCTGGAGAGCCTTCAGGAAGTCATCATCGCAGTTCCGGGAAATGATCTTTTCGCGTCTCAAGTGCAATCTGGCCAGAGGAGGCATCTCGCGACTCTGAGGATTGTAGAAGGGTGCCCTGGGATCCTCCGGATACATGGTGGTGATGGGGTACATTCTCTCCGGCGGCTGCGTTTCCGAATTGGGTGACTAACAAGGAACATATCATTCAATAATTTTAATCAGGTTTTATGGTCATAAATAAGAGTTATTATATTAAACAAATTAAATCCCAAGAAAGAATTCAAAAAAAAAAAATAATAAATATTCCTTTTTTATAAAATAAATTGAAATAATTTACTTTTGTTAATAAAGGAGTAAAGCAGTATTTATAATAATACTGAACTATCCATTTGTATTATACAAATCGTGTTTAAATATCTTATACACAAGTCTTTTCTTACCATATAAGAAATACCACTATCGGTGCCCGCGTCCCAGGGATACAGATCAAAGGTCATTGACTCCTTCCAGCTGCAGTCCTCGGTGCAGAGATCCAGGCCACTAATGCCCACCACCCAGTCGGGTGAAGGACCAAACATGGAAACCAGCGACACCTTCGGGTGCTTGCGATCAACACGGAACTTGGCGGAGGTGTTTTGGTTGACATTCGGATACCACAAGCCAGCGGCCTTGATCAGTGTTCGCAACTTGGGCCCATTTGCCCGCAGTTCCCCCTCCAGAGCAGTCGGTGAGCCCCACTCCGCCAGGGAACGGAATCCGGCAGTGGCTATGTGGTTCTCGCCCCAGAACGAAAAGTTGGCCTCGTGTGAGGCGCCAATGACATCGGAGAAGTGGGTCAACCAAATGGCAAAGGGATAGTCCTTGGGATGGGTCTCATTCGACCAGATGCCCTCGAAAACAAACTGAAAATGTTCGGGGAAATCAATTATTATCCAGGATTATTTTATACTCTTGCAGAGGGTATTATATGTATAGTTCAGACAAAAGTTTGCAGCGCACTGAATATATAAAGTATTTAAATTCTTGTTCAGCATCGCTCTTTTACTCTACGATTAAAAATTATAGCTTTCATGTATATTTTCAGGTACTTTAAAATATAGTTATGGTTAGCTATTTAAGCTGCCATGAAAGCGATCGAAACATTCAGTAGAAAAATCGAAATAGTTTCACTGTTTTTATACACATAGGTTTAAAAATCCAAATAATATAGTTTTATGGTATATTTACTTTTTGTAACTGCTGCAAAAGTGTATAAACTTTGGTTTGCCACAGTTTCTTGTATTTCGTTAGTCCCGACTTACGCTGTACTTGGCTTCATCGCAGGCGCAGCATTCCTTTTGGGCAGCAGCTGCATCCGGTTTCCGCTCACAGATTACCGTGGATAGGTTGCCATCGTCCGCAAACCAGGCTTTGGGACCCTCATAGACCATTGCGGACAAGGAAACACATCCGGAACCCGCCTCTGGAGCGACCCACATCACCTGGACCTCTGTTTTAGGGTAGGAGTCTGCCTCGGAAACAGTGTTCACACAGCGATCGTTAAACTTGGTCAGGGAATCGCTGAACAGCTGGAAGCGACCCACTCGCCGCGGACTGGCTGCCTGGGGACGTCGTGCTCCAGTATGCGCCTCCGCCGCAATGGTGAAGTGGGTAAAATGCTGGATTTTCGTGTGGGTTCGAGATCCAAGAAGGAGCACTGTTAAATGTATACAAATTCAAATTTCGATAAAAATGTAAGTCGATTAAATGTATCGCTGTCGAAATATGCAGTACTTTTACAGCACTGCTTGGTATCTATAGCTGTCTCGCTCTCTCTATCTTCTTGCGTTCAAGACAACGCGCAATTTTTATTCTTTCTTTAATTTGTTTTATTAATCATTATTTCGTTTAAGTAATGTCCACATTCATGGACATGCTCACCAGCAGTCAATGCGTCGACCTGAAAAAGTGCGGCGATGTAGTGGTCTCGCCCAGCGATAACATGGTGGCCATTTACTGCCACTTCTGCCGGGACATTTTCGCACATCTGCCGGAATTTTTGAGGCACCTCCAGTGGTCCCACTATGATGTCCTGAATTTCACCAAGGAGCAAAACGTGTACAGCTTGGAGGAGCTTCTATCTGAAGAGGAGTACGCCCAGTCGACAGGGAACAACAACAGCAGCAGCAGCAGCGGGGATTCCGGCATTATGGAGGTCATAAAGGATTCTACTAGCCAAAAACCAAGTAAGCAAAAAGTGGTATATTCCGCGAAATAATCACATTTTAATTCCTTATTATTTATCCCGCTGTGGCAGTGAAATATAAAGTGGAGGACATACTATTAAAGGAAGGACTCTCCCAACAGGAAGACAATCCCGTAGGCCGAGGATTCAAAGGATTTCGCAACAAGGCAGAAAACAAGGAGAACACTTTGAAAATCTGCGAACTGAAGAGCCACGCCATTGCCAGGAATTCGAGGAAACGTATGAGCAGCGTGAAGAACCGCATCCTCAAAGCCATTGAAAACGATGAGCCCACCAAACTTCTTAAGAAACAGCCGAAAACTGAATCTCTAGAAGTAGATAACATCCTAAAACCCATTGATAACGATGAGCCTACCAAACTTCTAGTGAAACCGCCAAAAACCAACTACACACTACCTATAACTGAACCTTTAGAAGTAGATAATATACAGCCACTTAATTTTAATACTCCTTTCAAGCTAACCAAACAACCAACCTCATCTAACTTAAGTGTAAGGAAATCGACTTTAACCAGTGCTCGAATCTTCACAACATCCCTTTTGCAGCACAAAGATCTGAACTCTAAGCCAAAACTCAGCTCAACAGTCCAGAAAGTCCAAGCTAACTCCGTTTCAAGTGTGGTTAAAAAAGTAGCTCAGTTCCCAAAACCAGCCACAAAGAGAATATTATCGCCTTTCCAAATAAGACAAGTTGAAATACTGCCAAAAACTAAGTTGAGTGATAGTGTGATTAAATCAATACAAACTGAAAGGCCATCGCTCAAAAGAATTCTAGAGGAAATTGGCAACTACCATGTTCAGAAACAGCCCAAAGACCAAGGTTTTTCAGTGCTCAAACTAAGCCCAACTCCAAACAATGAGCAAGAGCTATCTAAAGACAACAACAACACAAAACGTTTTAAGTTGGAGTCGGAAAATGAAGATAATTCCAAAATCACACAGACAAAGGAAAATCCTGTTGTAAAAATAAAGCAGATCCTAGACAATATTAAAAATCCTGTTAACAAGAACGACAACGCAAAACTCGTGAAATTGGATTCGGAAAATATAGAGATTACCACCGACAAAAGTTCAAAAATCGCACTGGTAAAGAAAAATCTGGCCGTTAAAAAGATGCAGACAACCAGTACCAAAACAAATCAAACAAATACCAATAGTTTTGCTACCAAGGACGACAAATTGGAGTCAAATAATCTAGTTTTACAAACCACACAGCCTAAGGAAAACCTGCTGGTTATAAAAAAGGAGCCAAACAAAAAAAACAAAAAACAAAAATCAACTTCCCCAGACATCGCAACTCTTTTGAAAAATGTTGGGGTGAGCAATTGATTTTAATCATTGCCCAAAATTCACCTAATACCTTAAATTATTTCATCCTTTCAGTTGCCAGCAATGCAAAATGCCAGGTATGAGGACAAAATAACGTCGGATGAGTTGATGAAGTTGCGCGCAAAAGCCGCCCAGTTTAGCAAAATCTACATGAAGCACGATTCCATTTGGAATTATAGAATTTTGAATCCATCACCCAAAGCTGAATTTCTCTCTCGTCTGATTTCTGAGCTAACTACAGAAGTCAACTTAACGATGGGATGCAACCTGACTAAAGGCGAACTAAAACGAATCATAAATCTGATTTCAGTTTGGCACCAAAAAACGGTTCACCTTAAGGTGGTCAAAAACGGCAAGATTTTGCCCACCGACTATTTTAACCTATTCGGATTTTTACCTGATAGTTTTGTTTTTTTTTGCGAAGGCTGCGAGGAAACTTTCACTATTGAAGAATCATACATAAAGCATTTGACTTCTCACGAAGGTGTGTATCATTGCCAACCTTGCAATAAATTGTTCAAGTACCAGGGATTCTACGAGAAGCATATGCGAAATGCTCATTTCTAAACAGTTCCACTTACAACCTTATATAGATTTTAAGTTGTAGTCATACTTTTTACTAAAGACTTTACGTTGTTATGTAGTTGTCAAAAAAGTAAAAACTCAGATGAGTTAAAAGCTAAAAGATAGCTTATCCGTCAAGTTAAGAAACTGGCTAGTTGCTTATTATAAAACTATATCCGCTTTTAATTTATATAATTTGGATCAATTCTTTTCCGTATTCATGTTCTTAACAAACAATCTATGTAACTCAATTAATTCCCATTCATTCAAGATTATAAACACTAACTAAATTAATAAGATTAGCGACAAAGCAATAGTTAAACAATGTTATGTAGTTCTCAAAAAGGTGAATACAATAAAAGCTGAAGAAGTTGTCAGATAAAGTTAACAGTCAAAATAATAAACTTGTTAGTTATGTTTATATAAAGCTATATCCGTTATTAGTAATAAGTTATTACTTAAATTTTTTATCCATGCGTTTCTGCACCAAAGTTCTGAATAAATAACCTCTACAGACTCAATACAGTTTATTATTCATCATTATAAGCACGATTGAATTATATTAAAAAGATTAGTGAACAGCATTTTCAAAACACTTTGCTGAACCGAGAGGATGGACACGATCTGCTCTGGATTCTCTTATCGCGTCGATTGCTCTTATTTTCAGTTCTCAAGTGACCCCGCTGATTAAAAAAGCGAAACCCAGCTAAAGGTATCTATCCAGACTTACAATTATACGTTTTGCCGGGCACATAGCCGCTGGGTCCATCGGCCACAATTAATTTGTATCCATTGTCGCCGCGTGTGCGTCGTCCGTGGTTCAAATGGGTGGGCGCCCGGGGACAGGCGGTGGCCGTACTAATTGTCAGCCAGACGATGACGACAAGGCGGATGAGCAGCGGCAGCGATTGCCCCATCTCCAGTGCTTTGTTTCGCGCGTTATCACTTGACGACTTGTACGATTTCTGAGCTCCACAGTAGATGCGACTATTCCAGGCGAGGCTCAGCAGCAGACTAATCAAGCCGGAGAGACGACGATTGGGCTATCTTCAAGTCGGACGGCGAACCCGATGCCGGAAGCCTCGGGCTCGGGATGATTACGACAAACTGACTGAATTTCTCAATTTATATTTGCTCCTTCATAAATATCACTTTCCTACTGGTCGTCTTGTTTTCTATTTGGTATATATTTCGTGGTATAAATGTTGCCGTACAATTTACAAATAATATTACAATTATATATTTCCATATCATCGGTAACAGTGTTCACTATCGTAGTTCGTTTAGTTTAGTTTATAAATTTGTAGGTTGGCTCTGCGCTCACCAAGTACCATAGTTTGATCCGTGAGGATGCGCTTTAGGAAACTCAACGTTGGTCGAGAACAAAGCAATTATATACTGATAGATCAAACTGAGACTGATCACACGGTTGGCATTCGATCGGGTTGATTTAGGGGATTAAATGTGAGAACTATTAAGCATAGTGGCATATAAATCACAATCGCAAATTAAGTTAATACTAAAAGGTCAGAATTGGCGTTTCCCGGTGATCCAATAGGTCTGTAAGTCAGTTTAAGGATGAGTATAACTATAAATTGTACTTTTTTAGGATATATGTATGTTACCCTTTGCAATGCTCCACCAGGGCAGTGTCACATAGGTGAGGAATGCATTGAGCGGCGTGGACTGCTGTCTTCTGTTCTCCTTCCAGAAGTGAAAGGATTGCGTGAAGCCTCGACTGGTCCACAGGGGATTGTAGGCGCCGTCGTCGAGTTCTGAAAGTAAACAAGGCACACTAGATAAGTCATGGTTGCAGCCAGAGCACAGGTAACTATTAACATGCATTGTTTGATAAGAATTATAGGTAGAATATCTCCTAGGCAATAACCTTTAAGTGCCTTCTTGGGCACATCGCACCAGTAGTAGATGTTGGTGCCATCTGGAGTTCGGCGCTTGGGCACCAGATGCAGCATCTTGCTGACATGCGCCTGCTTGGCTGTCCTCGGCAGAGTGGCACTGGTGGTCTCCACCTCCGCCTCCTCCTGGTTGCCATTGGCCACATCGAGCATGGGCGTCAGTTCCGTTGGCGAAATCACCTTGGTTACATCACTCTCCTCCCCGTTCTCATTGTTCTCGTTCGGCTGCAGCGGATGCTTCTCCGTCTCCACCGACACGCGGACACATTTCTCGAAGAGTTTCGCGGGTGGCGAATTCTTGGGGGACTCCACCACCGGCAGCTCCTCACGTCCCCGAACACTGATCATCAGCTTGCTGTCGCTCTCACTAAGGATGGCCATCTTGGCGGCTCCAGCTCCAACGCCTCCTTCCGACTCACTACCATTCAGGGAGGTAGCATCATCGGCAATCTCGTACTCCTCAGTTTTTGAGGTCATGTCCGGCCTGGGATTGTTATTATTGACGGCTTTGTGTTTGATAGCAGCACTCGATTTGGTTTTGCCCTTGTCCTTATCCTTGTCGCCCTCTTTGTCCTTTTCCTTATCCTTGCCGGCTACGCCTCTGCGCCGCTTGGGCGACATCTTGGCCAGAAAGTTGGTCGCCGAACCGTTGACCTTCTGATTCGAAGACTTCTTGTCGTTCTCCTTGTTCTTGTCCTTATCCTTATCCTTATCTTTGTCCTTGTCCTTCTCCTGATCCTTGACTCTGGACGTGCGCAGTCTTGGGGGTATGATCTTCCTGGTGGCCACCGGCAGACTGGTCCTGCGATCAGCGGCACTGAGGGAGGCGCTCCTGGTGATGCTGGCACCCTGCTGCTTTCGTTTGCCCTCCGACGGCAGCCGGAAACTGCTCCTTTTGCCCACCAGCAGCTCGCTCTCCACACTGAGGATGCTGGTCTTGGGCTTGAGACGGGTGGGCCGCTTGTCGGGCATCTTGGCCAGACAGGCGGGCGACTCGTTGGACGGATCCTCGCAGCTGGGGCAGTAGACCTCGGACATTTCCGGGGTGTCTGTGTTCTTGGCCGACGGCCAGCGCTTCTTGCCCTTCTTGCCGCCAAAACAGTTGCAGCCCGTGGTCTGACCAGCTCCGTTGTTGTCGCCGGGCACTTTGACCTCCGCGGCGGCACTCAAAGGAGGCGGAGTCACGGCCGGAACAGCAGCTGCAGCCGCAGCCGATGGAGCAGTGGAAGTGGATTCTTGGGGCAACTTTTCTTGATCACCAGCGGCGAGCTGGTGGCTCTCGCAATGCGGATTTGGGTGCAGTTTTGCCGTGGAGGCCGAGAAAGCAGGACGTTGCTGATCTACAAGTAGATATAGATCGGTTTTTGCGTTTAAAAGCATATACATCGACACACATGTACAACCGAGGATCGGCCCAAGCAACTTAGTCGGTAATTGGCAACAGAAAGCAGTGGAAATAATAAGCCAGAATGGGAAAACACAAAAAGCTAGGGATCGACTGGGGAGGATGTCTAATGAATATACAATCAAGCCACCACCACCACGGAAAACATAATTTCTAAAGGGAAACGGAAAAAGGATAGGACTATGGGATGTGATGAACGACGACCTCCTCCTCCAACTCAACATCCAGTGTCAAAACAAAAGCCAAACGGAATATAATTTTGGTTGTTGACCCTAGTGTATTATTTGTCCTGCTTTCTCGGCAATGTCTGGTGTTCTCTTCACATATATATATATACTCTGGGGTTGTTTTTTAGGGGGCACATAGAAGGTATATATATAAATTTGATAGTTGGAAGTTGTAAAAGGAAAATCAATGGAACCACAACACATTACGAGAAGTAAATCAGGAATATGAACGGAAATGAAAGGAGCAAGCGGAATAAGCAGCATTAACTACGATAAAAACTACGCAACTAGGCAATGTTCAATTGTAAATGTTCATGCAACTAAAGGATGCTCAAATCAAGAGGAAACTAAGATAAACTTATAGGTACATAGAGAGTGGCTTAGACTGACCATCGCGCAGATCTCCAGCCTCGATCTCGGACACCTCGCTGGCCAGCGAGTCCAGTCCCTCGTTCTCCGATCGCGCCTTGGCTCCCACATTGGGGCTGGTGCCACTGCCCACCATGTCCTGGTTATTCGAGTTGGTCTTGGTGCGCCAACCGTAGCGGGAGAAGTTGTTCAGATTGGCGCTCGGATCGCTGAGGCGTCGCTGATGGCGGTACGTGCAGTAGTCGTCGTTCTCCTCCTCCCACTCGTCCCACATGTCGGTGGCGCAGAATCCCGGCTCGCTGGTGGGCGTCTCCACGCCAGATCCCTTTGGCTTAGTCACCGCCATCTCGGCATGACCCTTTCCCTGCGGTCCCTTCATCCGGACAAATTCACAGCGCGTTTGGACGCCAGCTCCACTGCTGAATAGGCCAAAGGACATGCGCTGCGCCACCTTGGAACTCAGACTGGATTGCTTTGGAATAAACAATAAATTAGTATGAAAGCAGTTAAAAGAAGAGTTCCCATCCTAACCCTGGCATCGTAGACCTTCTTTAAGGCATCGTAGCGTATGGATCCCAGGAAGATCACGCCCTGAACCGCTCCATCCTTGTCATTGGCCACCAGCTCCACGCACACCATCTCCCCGTCGCGCACCAGGATGTCGCTGAACACCTCGTCGAAGTTGTCCACCATAAAGCAGATGTGCGGATACGTGATCTCCTCGCCCTCGCCCTTGGTGTCCATCTTCCTTCGACTGGGACTGGCGTACACCCGCTGCGAGTGCCTCCTCAGCACCTGCAGCTCCTTGGGCGAGGTCCTGGTGCAAATGGCCAGTGTGAGTGTATAATCGAACTGGTGGATGACCATGTTCAGATAGACCGTCTCCTCCCAGTCCACATCGGGATCGCCGATGGGCAGTTTGCGCGAGTCCTTGCGGAACACCTCCACTTCAGTCTGTTGGAAAGATACGTTTTTTTTTTTGATAATTTGTAGACGAGCAATCCCATTTACCCACCTCAAATTTTGGCATGTGGCGCGACGAGCTCTTCACGTGCTTCTTGCGCACAAAGAAGAGCAAATCGTCCGAGTCGATGCTGTGCACGGGCTCCGTCTGGAAGAGGAAGTGCCGCACGAACAGGTCCGTCCAGTAGGTGGTGCCCTGGAGCACCACGAAGCCGCCATCTGGAAAAGGTATACAAACCGTAATAAGAACATAAAACTTAAGCGAGAAGGAAAAAGTATTACTATTTCTATGCCAGCAATCATTATTATGCTAACAACAGAAGTCCCTGAGAGGAATAATATCAGCTCACATAATGCTTTCATATTATCGTTGCTTGTCTTTAATTCAAAAATGAACTTCGCTTTACTTAACATAGTGATTGTTTTATTGTTTTCCTCTTTGCTATCCTTTCAGTTCTTTAAAAAAAAATGTTTTTTGGGATTTTTAAGCCTTAGGGGTTGCTTATATTGCTGAAGAGCTTTCAATGACTGGGTTTGCTCAGGAATTTAACTTTAGCACTTTCCCTAATAGAAAACCTATTTAATTATTATAAAAATATGTACAAAATAAAAATAAACTTGGAATTAGTTAGCCCTCCAATTTAAAATTAATGTTAAATGTATAAAGATAAATTAATAAATTTTTAATAATCCTTAACCAAATTCATAGTTAAGATTTTAGAGAAAGTCTTCCCTTAAATTAAGGTCTGCAAGAATCGGGTGAGCTGGGGGATGCTCAAATTGACCGACAGGTGAACAGCTGTTTGTGGTTTTCCCAACCTGCCCCCTTGTCGCCCGATAAAAGTAAAAGCTGCTGCTGCTTATATAAAAGAAAACAAACCGTTGGTGAAAAGTGGGGCGGAAAAGGCACGCACACAGGCGCATCAGGCACTTATACACACGCAAGCCTCCTTGGGGGTTGGGGTTGCCCTTTGTGTATGTGTGAGTGTGACAAATCGATAAAGTGCAAATGTAGACAAATTTTCGCCGCAATAGAGGGAAAATCAGGAGTTCGAATCCGGGATACCCACCATCCTTGAGCAGCTGGCGCATCTCCTTGGTCCTCTGAAAGTTGATGTCCTCCAGGAGCTGCTGCAGTGGCGTCTGAGATCCCTTCAAAAGGGCGGCGGCGGCACTGGCGAGAGCCATCCTAACGGGGGATTTCCACGGTTCCAGCTCCGATGACGAATGTCGATGTTGATGGGTGAGTGTTACTATTTCACAACGTTGTCCAAGACATCACGGCTTTTACGGGGAGAGGGGCGGTGCTAGTAGCGAGGGGGCGCGGCTAGTAGAGTGGAATATATTCCAACATTTGTTTTTGCTTGCTGCTGGTTCTTTTAGTTTTTTTTTTTAATCGGCGGAGAGCAGCTCGTCTCCACGGCAGCGCATGCAAATTGCAACTGAGCATAAATTCGGATTTTTTCCCACTCGGGGGTGGATATTTTGTATCCCTTATCCGCACAGTTTACCCCACCTGTGTTATCAGGCATCAGCTGTTCCCACCTTTTCTCATATTAGTCACTTATTCTTTGTCTTAATTTTCAATAAATTGTAAAAAATTCCACGGTTAACTGATTGTTTTGTTTAGCTGAGCTTTTGTTGTTAAATGGAGAATGGAGAAAAAAACGTAAATAACAATAGATCCAAAAGTGTTGCAAAACCGCGAAATTAAACGATAACACCAAGCTTGCTCTTGTTCGACTAGAGCTTGATATCGGTAATCGAATTCAAACATAATACTTATTCACCCCTTTCCAGGTTTTTCGCAGTTGTCCAAACTGGTAAAAGTTTTTGGCTTACAATCTAAAAATTCATTTGATTGGCGATTTGGATCGAGTTTTTTTTAAATTTGAATGATTTTACCCCCTATTATTTTTCCAAAAATTGCTTTTTGCAGAAAAGTGACCTAAAACCAGAACTTTAAAGCTCATTACTTAGCTGACAGATATCTGATTTTAAAAATGCGTACCTCTAAAAGATTGTGGTTTAAAATTCTACTACTGCTCGTTTCTGATTTTAATTTTAAGAGTGATATTCGAAATCTGTAGCCCCATAAGAAAACCAAAAGGCGATTTTAGAACTCAAATGCAACTGTCAAAAATCGAAAGTTTTTACTAATCGTCATTAGATTCTTGGATATTTTTGATGTCGTCCTGCAGCTCCTTTAGCTCCCGGAGCAGGGAGCGCGAGAGCTGACCCTCTGGAGTGGCCAGGGGTTCGAAGAGTAGCATTCGCAGGGATTCCCGTATCATGACCTCCACTTGCTCCAACATCGCCTGAAGGAAAATATAGTTAAGGGTGATATTTAGGGATCAATTTAGTAACCCAACCCACCAGTAAATCGCTGGCACTCAGCTCCTGCTCACTGTACTGCTTTCTGGCCAGCTCCGCCTGTGTGTTGGCCAGTTCGTACAAAGCGATGGCCTTCACTCTGGAGATCCCCGGGGCCACCACCTTCAGGACCAACAATATTTCCTGGCACAAACGAATCTTTCTCTCGTATACCTTCCTATTCGGTCGATGTGCTATGTTCTGCAGGATTTGGCGCAGAATGGAGGCAATGTTCTGTTTAAGGTCCAGCATAAGGTAGTGATTGCGATGGAGCAGCCGGCTTAATTTGGCCAGAAGGAGCTCAAGCCTGTAAATATCATCTCTGGCATGGAATATCTCCTCCTTGGCTCGCTCCAGCATATTCGATACGAACTCCTGTTTCAGTGTGTGATCCGGATTGAGGATGCACTGCCACGTGCCCGTTTCCGGCTGGCGGATTATGAAGCCATCCGGACAGGAGCAGTGGCTGCAGATGAAGCTGCTCATGTGGGTGCCCAGCTCGGTGGGATCCTGGCAACGTGGACACGAGCAGTGAAAGTACTTGCCCACTTTGAGGATTTCACGACGCTCCTCGGTGCCCAGGAGCACATTGGTGTAGCAAATGTAGAGGATTTCCCCGGCAGCTATAAACCTATTGGCGAACACCTTCATGCGTCGCTCCTCATCAATGGCGGTCACCAGATTGGGCATGCAGCTGTGGGCAAAGAGTCCCGCCCTGTGATACAATCCCCTCATGGAGCCGCCCGCCTCGGGAGCCCTTATCTCGTAGGCATTCACATCCAAGATGCTCAGTAGACCCTGGACCAGATCCTCATCCGCTTCCGTTTGCAATTGCCTCAGCACTCCACTCGCCTCCAGAGGAGCAAAGGCGTGCTCGTGGTAGTTTTTCCATATATCCGTGCCTTTCCTAGCCGCCAGATGGGTTTCCATTTGGGTCATTTCTTCGTACAAGGGCAATGTTTCTGGATGCTCTTTTAGGAGTAGACATTTTAGAGCTGGCTGGATATCAGGGTGCTCCTGGAGCAGCTTTATCTGCTCCTCCGACAGCTTGATCTCGGCCAGCCTCTGGCAATTTCGGTTATCGTGATCCGGGCAATCCTCGCACAAAACTAAAAGGTGACACTTTCTGGGAAGCAAAATTAATTTAAGCTTATTTAAATTAATAGAACTACACCAGTAAAATATTTGTGGGTCAAAGTTTTAAATTCCGGTTTGATTTGTATTTGTTATATTTGTTTTTAAAACATTTTTTGAGTTTTTTTTTGATCGACATAAAACCTAGTTCTTAAATTGTATTTTTTTAATTGAAATCAAAACTCGAACCTTTAGTTCTTTAAACACAGAATTTTTGAATTTTATCTGCAAAACAAAAAATAAAACTTAAGAAAATTATACTTTTCGATAACAAAATAAATTAAATAAACTGAAAAAAAAATAACATTTTACACAAAAAAAATGTATATAGGAATCAATCCCAGGTTTATATAAGAATGAGATGTGGAACTTCTTGGAACTACCTACCTGCAAAAACTTTGGGTTAACTTAAAGCACTTGGAACAGCGTCGATCGCCCATGTGGGACAAAACCACGATAGGCTGCTCCAGCAGCACGGTCTCGCCAGCTCGAAGATTGCACTGGGCCACCACAAACCTAAGGGGGAAACCCGTAGGGATCAGGTCTCGAGAGGATTACAGAGGGCAGTTACTAACCTGCCCAGCGCTTCGTTCTGCTTCACCTCGCACTTCTTAACAAAATCGTCCGTAACTGCAGCCATATTCTGTTTTCTGTTCCCGTTCCCTTTGGCTACCTTTGGCATACTGACAACAAGACCGGCGACATGCTGGCAACTTATTTTTAATTGAACGACAATTCTTTATTTATTTCTTGGTCAATGATTCCCCCACCACCCAACCAAACGTTGAACCGTGTCGCCAGCACACACAATGTACAAGTGGCAACAACTGAAGGGAGAGCATTCGCTTCCCTTCGCCTAGTCTAATCTAATTTAATTTAAATTTAAATTTAAAACCGCCGCTGCAGTGCAGCGTCCAATTGCATCCAACATGTAAGTCCAACTATCTGCCGTATTTCTTCAAATCGGACTCAATGCGCTCCAGCTCCATGGCAATCCGGTCGGAAAGGTAGCCTTCTGCCGAGTTTTCGGGCTCAAAGCGGAGTAGGTCCATCGCTTCCTTGGCCACCAGACTGGCCGTCCTTAAATGGGCCTGAAATAGATTTTTATGATTAAACAAGTTAGTGAATTAACAAATTTAGTATCGTGTACTACTACTACACGTTACTCAGCTAAAAAATTTTGAATTAGGGTTTGTATGTGGCGCCATCTGCCGAACTACACGGTCAACACTGCAAGCTAAGAGCTAACAGCTTTCTTTCGCTCTCTTTCGCTCTCTTTCGCTCTCCCAAATATATAGGCCTTGTTTTTAAATTGTTAATTAAACTTTCCTAATAACTTTTAAAATATAGATATTCAACAAATAAACATGCATACACTAGCTGGTCTTGGCCTAATTTTACATCAAATTCGCATGTTATATCCCTAATGTCTGCCTTTTATAGTTTCCCAAATCTTAAAGTGCTGGCGGACATGATGGATTTAAACGAATACAATATACCCTATTACTTGACCAGCAACGGGTTTAAAAATATGTTTAGTGTCAAATCTCCCTAAATATCAAAATGGTCTCATTCGATTAACCCACCACATATTCCTTTTTGTTCAGATCACTTTCGGCAAACTGCAGTTCCACCAGCTCCACCAAGGCGAGCAGATACTCGAACAGGCCGATGGCATACAGCTTGGAAATGCCCGGAACCACCGCCCTGCAGACGGGCAGCAGATCGGAGCAGAGTTCCACGCGTCGAGCCAGGAGCTTCTTGCACGGCTGCTCCATGGAGTTCATCAGTGCCGCCGCCCGCAGGATGCTGGCAATGTTCTGCTTGATGTCCAGCAACATGAAGTGATTGGGATGGAGCAGTGGTCCGTACTGGGTCAGCAGGGATTCGTAGACCTGCAGCTCTCCCCGGGCCTCGACCAAGGCTGTCCCCACCTCCGCTTGCAGTTCGTGGACCTCGGCGGCGGTTAGCAGAGCTCCACAGTCCGGGCAACGCCAATCGCCCAGCCTTCCATTGGGCTCTATCTCACAAACCGAGAATCCTCCGTCGCACTCTCTGCACTTCATGCTGCTCATGTGAGTGCCCATCTCCGTGGGATCCAGACAGCGCGAACAGGAGCACTCCAATCTCCGACTCAGGCGTAGTTGGTGCTGCCTCTGACTGGTGCCCATCAATGGATTCGTGTAGGAGTTGTAGATGATGTCGCCAGGCTGGAGGGAAACAGCCGCATATAGCTTCATGTTGAACTGCTCGTCCAGGGCCACCACCGTGTTGGGCACGCAGCTGTGCGGCAAGCTGGCTCCGCACACGAAAACTCCCTTCAGAGTATCGCCATCCCGGGCGGTCACCTCAAAGGAATTGCTGTCGATGCGGATGCAGTGGGCGTGCAGAGTATCCGAGGTCAGTTGCTGGGCGGGAAGTACCGCCACAAGGCCACTCTCCATCAGTGGGCGCACCACCAGTTCCTCGTGCTCCTGCCACATGCCTTCTCCATCGCGGTAATCGCTTAGATTTATGGGTGTTCCCACAAGCCCTTGACAATCGCCTTTTGTCTCCGGATTGTCCAGCAGAAGGAGCAACTTTAGCAGTCCACATATGCCATAGTTCTTCACCAGAATATCCTTGCAGATGGCTTTGCCTGCTCCGCTGGCAAAGAACTCGCACTCGAAGTCATCATGCTGGCCGCAGTCCATGCAAAGCGGGAACACCTGACACCTTCGGCACATCACATACGATTCCTGCAGGCATTGTGCGCACTTCAATTGGTGGCATTCCCAGTGGGGAGCCACCAACAAGGGCCTTTCCTCCAGCAATGTGTCTCCTGGCTCAATGTTTATCGCTGCCACCAAGTGCCTGCAAGGGAATATTAAATAATTATTAATTAAATTAATAATTAAACAATAAAAACAAAGCAGAACTCACCTGCCCAGCTTTTCATTATGAGACTGCTGAATATTTTCGCCAAAGTCTTGCATGGATTACGTATGTGCTGGCTGGCGAGAGATGTATTCAGTTGGTTTCTGGTTAGCTACTGATTCGTTTACTCACCCCAAACGCACCGAGCAATTATAAATATACTCTGAGGAAGAAGAATTTCCCTCTTTTTCAGGAGCCCTGTCGTTTGGCTAAGTACTTTGGCTAATTGCGTGCGTGGATCGAACGAGATGCTGACTTATTTATAGACTCAGTCGTTTGGAGGAGGTGATGCCGCACTAACGCGTCTGCTTTTCGCTTAATTTTTCCTTTAGTTATATCAATTATATCACTCGCATTTTCAATCTCAATAACTATATGGTTTATTGTTCTCTTTATAAATGTATCAAACATTGTGTATTTAGCTGATATTTCTTTAAGTCGATAATATGCATATATATATATATGTATTTAATTAGTTTTACGAGGGGACATTGTTAGGCTTAATTCAAAGTGTGTTACGGTGTTCTTGTGGAATACATCATATATATATTTTAGGAAAACAAATGAAGCTACATTAACAGTAGTAAAAGGCATGCTCTAAGAAAGGCTACTCGTAAAACACAGACGCCGCCAATTCAATTGGTCAAATGCGTGTGGGGGGGGCAAAAACAGAACAAATATGTATTTTATACAAAAAAAAAGTTAAACAAGTTTCCTATTCATTCCTCATCCTCAGTGCTGTTAACTCTCATGGCTTCCGGTGTCTGAACTTGGCCAATAGGTGAAGCCGTGGGAATCGGCGTGGGCGTTGGCGTCAGCGAACTGTTGGAAATGGCGTCAATGTCATCGTCAAACTCTACATCCTCAGCATGCATCAGCCTCGTAAGATCAAACGGAGTTTCCTGTTTGAGTAGCACATTATTAGTTGACTAGAAAAGGATTGAAATTAGTGTGTAATCCCATACCTTTACTTCATCAACTCGCTGTCTGTCATGCAGCGCACTTAGAAGTTCGCGCAGGTGTTGATTTTCCTTTCGCAATCGCTCCCTTTCCATATCGCGTTCGTTAATTTTTGGCTGTCATTATGAAAGTATTATTTAGAGAACTATTTTAGACATTCAAATAAGTTATTAAGCCTACCAAAAGCATGGAAATCTGCTCATTCAGTACTGTCACAATGCTGCTGAGTGCATGGCAGGGCACACTCGGCTCCAGCACACTGGCATGCTGGATGCGATTAGGCCCACAGGTGCTGCCCGATCCTCCAGCTCCAGTTGGTAACTTCTCCGCTTCTATGGGTGATGTCTGCGTTGAGCTATCGACTCTGGATACTGCCACTTGTTCGATCTGTAAAAGAAAAACATTTATTAAAATACGTCTTTATACTAGATCAATTTTATAATTACGGCTTTGTCGATGTCCTCTTTTTCGTCTGCAACAGGATTTTGTTTTTCTTCGTTTTCTGAAGCCTTAATCTCGCTACTCTGGCTTGGCAGCCCATCAGTTGATGCAGTTGCCGGCAGCTCATTATCAGCTATCGTCAAATCAGCCACTTCCTTGGTGCTCTCCGCCTCCGCATTGTGATTGTCTTGGCTACTTGCTTCACTTGTAGTAGGTGGTGTATCCAAAACCTGTGCTTCCTTCTCTGCCAAAGCCGCAGCCACTGCCTCGGTCTCGATGTGTGCCTTCTCCACTGGCAGACTCTCAGGAACAACTTCCATGCTTTGGCGTTTCGTCGACTCTAGCACAACAGACTGTGAAGTTTTCGACTCAGTTTTAAATGGAGCCAATGGCGTGGTGGGCCTCTCATGTGCCGGCTTAGAGGGTATCGCTGGCAAGCGCAGTTCGTCGATCTCACAGTATCCGTCATCGTCCTCGTGTATGGCAACTTCGTCAAGATCAAGGGTTTGTAGTTTGGGCATCAGGCGCGATGGCGGTATCTGGACCTGGGCCTGGGCATGCTGCCTGTTCGGCGGCGGCAGCGGTGGCGGCGATGAGCATGAAGATGATGCCACCGCCGCCACCACCTTCCTGCGCAGCTTCTCCTTCTCGTGACAGTGGCCACAGACCACAGTGGACACCGCCGAGACCTCCTGCTCGGGCGTCACGTGCATGTACTCGTTCAGCATCTTGGTCAGCGTTTGAATCTGATCGTAGGCAGCGAGGGCAATGTCGGCACTGTCTTTCGGGGCCTCTGGCATCATGGCAATGTCCACAATCTGGTCGTAGTGCTCCACGGGCAAACGGAAGATATCACAAATGATTTTCTGCTTCTCCAGCAAGTCACTCCGGATGGAGGCGTCCAGGCGCCGCAGCTTCTCGCCCGGCGTCAGCACGGGCTCCGCCGTGTGGGCTGGACTGATGCTGACCTGGATGGCCGTGGGTTCCACCAGGGGGCTCTGCATCAGCAGGGTGCGCGTGTTGTTCGAGTTGTTCGAGCAGACTATGCTGGCACTATCGCGCTTGGAGTGACCACCCACCATGCCGTAGGTGGAGTTCCTTTCCTCGCCACTCGATCCTGGACGAACCGATTCGCGCGCCGACTGAGAGTGGCGCAATGTGACGTCGTTCGCCGCCTCTGATGATCCAGTTGCGGAATACTTTTGGCTGGGCTCCCCAGTGCTCCGTATGGACATGGATCGATTAACTTCATTCTGGCTCGAACGTTGTGGCTTCGGTGTGTTGACATAATCTGCATCGGATTCATTTGCCACCACATCCTTCTGCGGATTGCGCAGCTGCACGCCGGTAAGGGAGCTAACATTGTTCGTAGCTGGGGC